TCGCTGGGCAACGACGACCAAGGATTCTGGGGCATGACGGCCATGCTGGCGGCCGAGGAAAAGTTCCCAGACCCTCCCGCTGATAGGCCCGGTTGGCTGGCCCTGGCCCAGGGAGTTTTCAACACCCAGGCCAGTCCCGATCGCCACGACGGCACCTGCGGCGGCGGTATCCGTTGGCAGATCCCGCCGACCAATCCCGGATACAGCTACAAGAACAGTAAGCGCGATATCCTGTCGAGTCCGCCGGGACATGTATCGTGATGGCGGCTAACACACACACCTTAGGTATTGCCAACGGTTGTTTCTTCAACTTGGGAGCGCGCCTGGCCCGCTACACCGGCAACAAGACGTATTCCGACTGGGCTGACAACACGTGGGACTGGATGACCAAGATTGGCTTCTTGGACAATGACACCTATGCGATATACGATGGTGCAGACGTATCAAACAACTGCACCGAAATCAACAAGGCCGAATTTTCGTACAACAGCGCCGTGTTCGTTCTTGGCGCAGCATACATGTACAACCACGTGAGTCTCCCTCTATGCTCGTAGTCTGAAGTTCAACAGCTAACCCCCCAGCAGACCGAAAGCGACGTATGGAAGACGAGACTGTCGAAGCTAGTGGACCACGGCCTCGAGACCTTTTTCCCCAAGGGCATCGCCTTCGAGCCGTCGTGCGAGGGCGTCAACACTTGCAGCACCGACATGGTGTCCTTCAAGGGCTACATCCACCGATGGTATGCCACGACGACACAGCTGGCCCCTTTCTTGGCTCCCAAGATCCTGCCTGTGCTCAAGACGTCGGCGCAGGCGGCCATCAAGCAGTGCACCGGCGGTGCCCTGGGGCGCCAGTGCGGACTTCGATGGAACACGGGCCAATTCGACGGTCGAACCGGAGCAGGTCAGGAGATGAACGTGGTGGGCGCCGTGTCATCGCTTCTCATCGGTACGGCCCACGTCCCCGTCACCAACGACACGGGTGGCACGTCCAAGGGAAACCCCAACGCCGGTAGCAACCCGAACAGTTTCCAGAGGCCGGTGAAGCCTGTGACAGCAGGCGACAAGGCCGGAGCGGGCATCGTCACAGTCGTCATCATCGGGTCTCTATGTACAGGACTCGCCTGGATGAGTCTCGGCCCTTGAAGTGGCTTGCACGTTTTCCGCATGGGCCTTTGGTTTCTTTTCGACAAAACCATTTGAAAAACTTATGACGGGTCTGCCACGGGACGATGCCCTGGCCAGACTCCTTGTATGATGTTTGGGCTGGCTATTCAGAGGGGCGGACTGGTAGCACTTTTTACGACTTTTGCTATTCGGCGTTGGGATGTACGTTTACTGGGATCATCTAGCATTTCTCTTTTTTTATGCGTTTTTATTTTATTTCTTCTACTAATCCTCCTCCTGATAATGGGGGAGGGGCAACGCTGTGGTTGTCGTCTGCTAGATGGCAGGATAAATACCGACTCTTTGAGCCGATGAATGGTCTGGATGACGGGATGATGATGTTGGATGAGCCGAAGAATAAGGGCTTCGAGGATATGAACATGACCGTCTAGGATAGTGACGAAACATAGTAGTAACCTCACGATGGAATGGCAATTTTTCCTTGATTGGAGTTTTTGAGCCCTGCGCGCGCGATATTATAGATGGGACTCTCGTGGTACGGTAACGTTGAACCACGCCAGGGTAACGGTGCATCCGACAATGGGATCGGCATCCGCATCGGCCGGCGAGATAGAGATGATGATGACGATCAATCAAGGCTGTTTGGCGCCGAACTGGATATCCACCCCCTGGTCTGTCAAGTCAAGTCAGTCATTCAGTTCGGAAGAGGGGCGGCGATCGTCGGCAGCTCCATTGGGTGCAAGTCAAGTCAAGGACACGTCATAAACGCGTTGCACCAGTGGGAATTGGAATTTCGGGATTGTCAATTTGCATGTCTCAGCTTAAACAATGCAAGAGTCACGCTCTGATTAGTCAAAACAAACAATGAAGCAAGAGTACCGGCATGGCGACTCCGATCGGATTTTCCTCAGGCAAGGTGTCATGTCATGTCATGTCATGCCAGGGTCAGGGTCAGGCCAGATGAGTGAGTGAGTGAGCGTTCGCAGAAGCTGCCAGAAGCAGCAAAACGCGAGATGGGAAATTGAAAAGTGGACAATTCAAGCCGGGATTGACAATTTGCGATGCCCATGGCGGGCCGAAGTTTTGGAATGGAAGGGAGAGAAGAAGAAGAAGAAGAAGAAAAAAAGGCTGAGAAGCTGGCAAAATCGCCCCCTGAGAAGGTGCTCATGTGGCCACGGGAATGACGCAAAAGGCGCCGAGGCCGAAACGGAGGAGAGGAGAAAAAACCCAATTGCACCTCGTGATGATGCCACTCAATTGTCTATGGTCGAGCCACTGGCTTTTTTTAAGGATGACCTAATTCTGTGGGAGGTATCAAAAATTATGCTGCAGGGAGAATTGAATCATTGACTTGACAGATGGCCTAATGAATGTCGTCAATTGCAGACCTCGTGGTGTGGACGGTTGGATGAGGGAGGTCATTCATTTGACAATTGGTTATTACGAGCGGTTAGGTAAGAAATGCAACGGAAAACGTGCACGCAATTTGCCGCAGCAGGTGCGCAAGCATTCTGGTATTACACGTCCATAACAAGCACAGCAGCACAGCAGCACAGGCACAGCTTACTCGCGGCATTGGGGGGGGGGGGGGGGGGTCGCTGTTGGTTGGTTGCAACGCTACAAGTCCAAGCTCAGCTCCCATGAAGAGGAAAAAAAGAAAAGAAAAAAATGATCCATCGCTAAGAAAGAAAGAAAGAAGGAAAAAAGAGCCAACCCACTTCGGGCATTCTCATTACCTACAGGAAACTCGCTCAAGGGCCCGCGTGACGCACGCCATCGGGTCACCAGAGGCTCCGGCCGCAGCGCTACAAGGGGGCGGGGGGGGATTTTCAGTGGCCTGGAACCGGTTCAATGCGCTGCAAGGCGCTGGGCTGGAAGCGAAAAAAAAAAAAAAAAAAAAAAAAACCTAAACCAGCGCAGGTCGCTGAGCTCCGGTCGGATCTGGCCACCTCATCCAAGTCGCGGCTACAGCTGATGCACTTGATGCGCCCATAGTAGATTTGTGGTGAGGACGGGTATATCCCGCGTATGGGCTACTTGTGTGGGTGCGCATATTGGCGGGAGCTCTGGACCCAATATGGCCCACCTGAGGACCTCCAGCGGACGTGAGTGGCCGAGAAGAAGCTCCAGCTTGGAAATTGGGTGAGTTGGTAGTGGCAAGGCCAAGGGCTGGCTTGTTCGTTCTCCATCAGGCCAGCCCGGCTTGAGCATAGCGTTTTGCGGGGGAAAAAAAGAAGAAGAAAAAAAAAGAAGAACGTGAGAAGAAAAAAAACCAGCAGCAGCACGGGATTGGGTGGCATGTTCTGGAAAATGGATCAGCAGTGCGGAGCCAGGGGCAACAAGCAGCAATAGTAGGCAGGGGGTTAGAATGAGACAAGGCCGGCGAAAGGATGAGGTAACCGGAAAAGAAACGACTGGATGGAAAAAAAAAAAAAAATTGAATTTTACGGTTGGTCATTAGTTGGTCTGGTGACTTGCTGGCGTTTCGAGGGGGGAACGAACCTGGTTGTGTGACCCCGATGGTGGAATCGATTGAGTAATTCGGGGGGGGGCAAGTTTGGTATAAGAGGTTGTGAGGGCCTCTTTCTTTGGTGAAGTGCTGCTGCTTGAGCTACGAAGAAGATTTACTGTCTTGTTTACTCTGTTGCTGAACTGATTGTTCTGTAAATTGAAGCTTGAGAGATATCAATTACAGCCTCAATTGAGCTACTACACCACACTACAACACACACTTGTACCCACATCAATTACACGCGACACACACACAAACAGTCAACACAAGAACAAAAACAACAACACAAACCCGACACAATGCCCGTCAACTACGTCTTCACAGAGTCTGCTCCCTCCCAGACCCCCTACGTCAGATCCGGTCGCGGCGGCGCCGGCAACATTGTCCGCTCCTCTGCCCTCCCTCCCACATCCTCATCATCCTCATCCTCCTCCTCCTCCTCGGCATCCCGCCAGCTCCCCAACCAGCGCTTCTTCTCTGGCATCGGCGGCGCCGGCAACGCCCACCAGGCCGACAAGCTGCAGCCCGCCCTCCTGCGCTCCCTCGAGACCCCCGGCAACCAGAACCCGGCGCGAGGCCACGTCGGCCGCGGCGGTGCGGGCAACGTCTACAACCGCAAGCCTAGCGATGCGAGCAGCGTGTCGAGCGCGGGCAGCAGTGCGAGCTCTGTTGGCGAAAAGGCAAAGATGTGGGCGTCTCGCGTCAGCGGTTCATTCTCACGGAAGTAGATGAGATGTTGTTTCTCATCTACATTTGGTTGAGGATGGAACTGAACTCGACAACCACAATATAATCAACAAAAAATGGCGTTGAGAGGATACTGGATGACTTTTGGGAGAGCGACTTTGATATACACAACAACGGCAAAAAAAACATACACATAAATGGATGTGATGGATTTACGATTACGAATATACCCGCCTGGTTTATGGGCTATCTGGGAATTGAATTGAATTGGAGTTTTTTTTGGAGCAGAATCAAGCAGCACGGAACGGATGCTGCTTTGAGAGGCTAGGCGGAAAAGTTACTTGAGAGATACATTAGTTGATAATGCTAAATCAATGCAATCACATTCTACTCGCCAAACACTCTATACCTCTGTGCGTTCATCTCTTGTGACATGATTGAGATGATCTGCTACCGTTGCTTTCTCCTGCTACTGCTACATACGTTGGTACCCTTGCTGATGATTCCCCTCGATGAGTCAAACGTTACATGTACTTACCCTACACCGGATAATCGCGACTCGGCCGAACTGCGTGCGTCTGCTTTTCTGGCGTGCAATACAGCTTGAACAGCTCAATCGGAACGGAGATGGGTAAAACTTGTAGTGAACTGGACTCGATGTCGACACTTGGCCTCTACTTTGCGTCGAGGCTGGATGACTTCTTGACGTCGATGCTCAGCCCCTTGAGTGTGGCTCTCTCAACAACCCATGTTCCAAATTTATCTCGATAGTTGGCAAAGGTAGAGGTGGTAACAACTAGTAGATACCAACTTGGGTATTTGAAGACTCGTGTAGGTAGCAGCAGCCGCTGGCCGAAGTCATGTGCGTCAGGAATATGAAGAAGAAAAAGAGTGTGTGAACACAGAACACCGGTTGAAGCAGAAACAAGCAAACTGACTCACCAAGTCCTCCTCATGTAGGCTACTGTGAAATATAAACATGATTTACAGTTCATCGACTTGGCGATTGTACAATCGACCATTTTCTTGCAATCAATAGACTAGATGGACTTAAATTGATAATTGCTTTCTTCTAGTCATCGTGCTTCCATAAGCCTCCTCATCAAGAGCACCAAGTCAACAATCTTCCCGCCTAACTTGTCGATCCTTTTCCAACTCAGGATTCTCAAGCACATAACGCCCCTAGAATTCTCCTCTTTATTCAAGAGAGAGGGTAGGAATCTCGCCGAGAGCGCGAAGGCTGTCCTTGACGCATGACTCCACCCTACTCTGGGTTTTCTTTATCTTTTTCTTGATTTCCGCGTCAGTCATACCACTACGGCCAGCGTCTTCGCGAATGATAGTGGCCCAAGCTGCTTCCCAAAGAGAGAAGCGGAAACCCATGGCCATTGACTTAAACAAGACGGCAACCTTGATGCGATTCTTCTCGGGCTTGAAAGTCTCCTACATGGCCTCCTTCTCGGACTTGAAAGTCTCCTCCGTGACCTCCTTCTCGGGCTTGAAAGTCTCCTCCATGGCCTCCTCCTTGGGATCGTAAATCTCCTTGACTCTAGTCATGAATGCCTCGACCGTCTCTTTGGTCATTCCGTGGCTGTCCCCAGATGCGCTAGAGCTCTCGGGCTGCTTGGGTGCGTCTGCCATCTTGACGAAATCTTCTTTTCACTCGGTAAGACGTGTCGGTGTATAGCCTAATGGGTGTTAGAAAGCAATCTGAGCCGTAGGTGAAATAATTAGATAAAGGCTTGCAGCTAGCCAATATATCTCTTGATAGCAAATTCTTTTCTATATTACCTTTGGAATCTTTTGTGCGAGTTAAAGTCTGTGATGGTGATGTGCAGATCCATTTGGGAAAAGGGGGAGAAATAAGCTGTTTAAGTACCCAAGAAAAGAACAAAAACACAAGGAGAATACAATACAAAAAACAACCAGAAAAACAAAGAAAGATGAGAAGAAACAAAGAAAGAAGGGAAGAAACAAAGAAAGCATAAAAGTAACAAAGGAGAAAATACACAAAGACAAACAAGCACAAAGAAAGATAAGAATCAACCAATCACCGAGTTTCACCGAGTTTCACTACGCCTGAAAGACTAAGCGCGTGCTGTACATGAAACCAGAGATGAACAAAAGGTTTGCAAATGATATATTTGGATATACAACGTCGAGGATTCGTCATACAATACTGGCTATATGCTAATGCCGAGATACAAGTCAAGAAAGGGGAAGGGGAAATGTTATTTACAATTATTTATCTGACGACCCATCATCCCAGCGGTTCTCTCATCTAAAGCTGGGAACAAAAGCAGTGTTAGAGCCCTAGTCAAGGCGGATGCAAAGATTTGAGGTAAAGAACACATAAGTTTGGGCACATGCCAATTCATCTTGCAGCCTCTTCCCCGTTTGAACACTGCATTGAACATATTCTAAACAACTTCAAGCACACAGACATCAATGTGGCAAATCATGATAACCGGGACCCCCCCTGTGGGTAGCACGGTCAGGCAACCACCGCAGCATTGTTGCATTGAGCGTACAAACTGCTAATGTATGGGTTTGAAGTCGCGCTTCTGGTACAAGCAATGAGTGGTCTGCACTAAAGCTGCTGAACTTTGCAAATCCGGATACAAAATCAAGAGGCTGCCTCGTACCCAACTGCCGTACAAGAGTCAACTCAGACGGTGAACAAAAGGAATGGGATGATGCCTTCCATGAAGTTCAACCTAGAGATAGGAAGAGCGCTACGTGCAATAGCTGTCTTGTTGCTTAGTAGTATAACTTCTTTATAGCTATCAATTGATCAGATGCTTACAATATAAATGAGTGGAATACGAGAACGATTTTCGCTTTGCTTCAAGTGCAATGGCTACCGATCCCTGACTCATAACCTAGATCATCGTTTTGAGGATATTGGACCGATGCATGCATAGCACCCTGCTGTATCCTGTTAAATACATCCATGTAGAAGCAGACTGTCTAGTACTAAATACAACAACGAGCTTTAACATCTCATTTCTTTGCAAGTGAGAGACCAAATAGATATTACATGATCGTCGTCAACATGCTGTAAGTGACCTAGAGGAGCGATTTGCATATCATCGACTTGGCAATTGTAGAATACAAAATTTTCTGGCAATTAATGAACTAAATAGACTCAAAGCGAGTTTACATTTGTATAAGTAGATGTTGTGCATCCGTAAGTCAATAATAAACCCCCTCTACCAAAGTCAACTGTCCCAAGTCTGACCGTTGCCGGTCTCCGTCTGAGCCCGAATAGTCAGCATATCATCATATAGCCGATCCAGAATCTCTTCATCTACTCCCTCCTGACGCAGGGTTTCAACCGCCGTTGAATGATACTCTTCCATCCGAAGGTCAAAACACTTCGCCTGGTAGATCATGTACCGAATCATTAGCTTCAAATCATTGTGAATCTCCTCCTTCTTCTTCTCCATCTACTCCTTCTCCTTCTCCATCCTATCCTTCTCAACCTTATCTTTCTCAGTCTCATGCTTCTTGATCTTATCCTTTTCGATCTTATCCTTCTCAATCTTCCTCTTCTTACTCCTCTCCTCCTTCCTCTCCTCAATCTCCCTCTCCTCAATCTTCCTCTTCTTGGTCTTCTCCTTAACCCTCTTCATTTCATACTCAATGCGGAGGCAGTTAGTTCGACCCGCGCGATACAACATAATGCAGTGTTCGGCTGCCTGTAAATGGGCCTGAATTTCCTGCTCATTCTTACCCTCACGGCGAGCCTTCTCCTGAATCTCGTCGGTGAAAGCTTTCTTCCTGGAGTTTTGAGCCTCCTCCTCATCGGCTATAAATGTGAAGACATTATCTCTAAGCTCATCTATGTTGATCCTGAGAGGCCCAGAATATGCAGTGGAGCTCTCGGGCTGCTCGTGTTCGTCTGCCATCTTGACAAACTCTTCTCGCTCGTTGGGACGCGCCGGTGTGTGTTTTCGTAGATGTCAGAAAAGCAATTTAAGCTGTAAGCGAAGAATCTTATCTGGCATACACATCTGTTAGTGGCAGGTTCTTTGTGTGTGACTTTGGAATCTTACCTCTAATGTGTCGAAACCTCTGGTGATCAGCTGTAGATTCATCTCAGAAAGGGATAAATGAACAGTTTAAATAGGCAAATGATAAAAGAATGAAGTGAGACAGAGACAAAGGGAAGTGAGAAGAAACAAAGGAATACAGAAGGAATAAAGAAAGATGAGAAGATATAAGCAGTCTCTGATGTCCCCTGCCGCCGAAAGACTACACAGATGCTAAAAAAGGAAATGTATTCAACAGGCTGCAATGATAGACAAACAAAACTCTCTGCCCAAGAACCAATTAATCCTGTGACATAATAGCCAATATCGGACAAGACGGACCAAAACCAATAACCGCTTGATAGAACCCAACAAAGACACCCTTTCCCTCGACCTTATTCGCTGATTGCAAACCAGCAAACAGGCTTCAGTTGACAAAGAAGTACCACAGCGTCTCGCCAAGGAGGCAAGATATCAATGATACCGAATCAAATGCCTCCGCGAATATTCTCTCCGTGACGACGATAGTCTCATCTCTTTTTCTTTGAACCCATCATTCATCACGTGGTGACCTTCTCCAAGACCACATGCGCATTTTGTGGCGCTCTTCAGGATCTGGAATCCTTTGCACCCAAGTTCTCAAAATCTCGGACTTTTATGCTCTATGATGATCAACCTCTTCCGTATCGGGTTGCTCGTGGCCGTCGTTCTCGTCGAGTTCCTCATGTACGCCATTTATGTTCAGTTGCTCCAAGGGTTGGTCCGACGCATCTCTATCCTCCTCGTCCAAATGCTCATCCTGACCAGCTTCGTGACCCTCGTCGGAATGCCCGTTTACGCCATTTACAAGGTTCTGTCCCGAATGTTGATTTAGCTGAGGGGATCTGCGCGCAGAGGGTTGCTCTACCGGAGATGGGCCAGCCGCTTCCACGGCATCGGGCTCATGATGATTTTGCTCCATGATTCCCAGCGCCTGAGCTCGTATACGGAAACGAACTCGTTGACTTGCCATTTCTCTCATCACACGGAGTACAGTCCCTCCTTGAAATTCAGCCATTCCGGGAATGGATTCCCAATAGGCCAAATTTATGACATCTCTCTCTTGACCATTGGGCGGCGCCGGCGTGTTCGTGTTTGCTTCGCGAGGCGATTCGTCGGTAGAGTGAGGGGCCATGTCTGAAGGTTTTAGTCACTGATGGACTATTTCTGGATCATTATTTGTATTTCTCTCACCTGTGATGAAATATTCCAAGATCTTTTGGGTAGTTCAACTATAATCTGGAGAATGAAGATAGCGATGGAGAAGAAGAGATAAATAGAAAGCAAACTACGTTATCATAATTTAACAATAAAAGGTTTAAACGCATGGTCTGAGTAGAAGCAACAGCTATTCAATTGAGTGGCAGCTGCTCTGATCAACAGAGTTTCGAGTTGAGCGAAAGTGCACCCAACATCTCATGAACCCTCAACACCCGACTTGGCTCACCAACAGCCTCGTGGTTTGTCTGCATCTTTGAGTAGCTGAGAATGCTAAGCAAAACAAAGAAGATGGAAAACAAACTTCCAAAAAAAAAAGACAGTGATCTCGCCCGGGCTCGAACCGGGGACCTTTTCGGTGGTGTCAACTCAACTGTTAACGAAATGTCATGACCAACTAGACCACGAAACCATTCTATCATGCAACTTTGATGCTGTTCCGCCCTCGCACAAGTCACATACAAACCTTTGCCCTCAAAACACCAAAACACCAAAAGACGAAAAGAAGAAACAAAAGACAAGAAACAAAAGAAAGAAAAGAACCGTCATTCAACTCAGCATAACCTCATGAATTATCAACAAACACGTTACAGAGTGCAAAAAAGTGACTCCCAGCTACTACATGAAACCATGACTCAACCCGCCCCAATCCAACCATCAACTGCAAATCGGGGTATCATTAGGCTCCCTTCATCTAGAATATCAGACAAAGTCCTACAACTGCCTCGGTCTAATGCCCGCTCGCTCCCTGTAAAAGAATCCCTCCCGTCTCTGTATCATAAACCAAGTTCTTTGTTTTCGTGAGAAAGAAGGAAGAGAAAGAAAAAAGAAAATTAGTTGTACACCCACCAGCTGACTTGTAACCTCTAGGAAATCTCATCAATTCTTTTTCTCTCTTCTTTCCCCTTCTTCTTTTTTTTTTTTAATTAATTCTTTGGTCTCCTTTGGTACCGGAGCAAATTTTGCCAGACCTGCCGCGTCAGCCACGGCCCATCTTTGAGAAATGTTCAATATTACTGCGCGCTCTCTTGACCCAAAGCAGCCAGACATGAAAAGACGACTTTCGCTCTCCTTTATGCCGATACGCCCGCTTCCAATTCGTGAATCATGTGAATTTTGTGTGGATAATATCCGGGTTTTCGTGCCAATCATCAATGCTCACCAGCATCTACCTCGCTTGTTAGTAAAACAATGCACATCCTACTTGCTCAGTCAGATCCACGGGCCACTTACTTTGCGGAAGGTGCTCAAGCCAGCGAGAATGCTTCCTCCGATCCATGTAGAGTATTTACGCTCCGGGGGCGCAAAGATCTTTATCCTCATGTCCTTGACCGCGAGCTTTTGCAGCTCCGTCAAGAGTCGATCACCGAAGCCCTTTGTCAGCGTGCTGCCTCCGGATAGGACAATGTTGCTGTAGAGCGATTTTCGTAGGTCCAGATCAGTACGGCTGATGGCATCAACCACAATCTGGTGCACACCAGGATACTCCTGGCCGATGATTTCGGGATCAAACAGAATCTCAGGAGCTCTGAATCGCTCAGCGCCAATCTATCGAAAAGAGTCAGTATCTAGAAGAGTGGTAGGGGAAAAGAGCCACCAAACTCACCTTTAGCTTGTGGCCGTCTGGCAAGACGTATTCGGCAAACTTGCTCTCGTTGGGCTTCACCCCGATCCAGTCCCTCTCCTCCTTCTTGGGGTCGTGCGCCACATATGACACGCTCTCCTTGATCAGTCGAACAACCTCCTTCTCGGCACTCGTGTGGAAGATGTAGCCGCTCTTGCGCAGCAGCGTCTGTAGATACTCGGTCACGTCTCGGCCCGCAACGTCAATCCGCTGTATGCTGCTGGGCATGGCAAAGCCCTCGTAGACAGGCACCGCATGCGATACGCCGTCGCCAGAGTCGAGGACGATACCTGTTGTCCGGCCACTGGCATATAGCGACAGCACAGCCTGAATCGACGTGTGCAGCGCGGGGACGTTGAATGTCTCAAAGAGAATCTGGGCGGCCGTGTCGCGGTTGCTCCGGGGGTTCAGAGGAGGCTCTGTCAGCAGAACTGGGTGCTGCGGTAGGTGTCAGCGGCAGCCTCTCTTCCGTCACTGTTGTGGTTGCTTTTGTGCACAAACCTCCTCGCTCAGCGTCTTGAGCCCCTCGCCATACACGTACTCCCAAATGCGCTCCATGTCGTCCCAATCAGTCACGACGCCGTGCTCCAGCGGGTAATGGATCTTCAGCAGCCCCCTCAGCTCGTTGGACGCCTTGTTCCCTATAAACAAATCCCCCTCCAGCGCGCCGGCCAGGACTCGCAGGTGCTTCGGCCGGCCGACCCACGAGGGGAAGAAGCATTTGGGCAGATCCTCCCCCGCGAAACCAGCGCGGATGGTGCCCGAACCGTTGTCCAGCACGATTGGGGCATTGTGCAGTATTTCCGTCATCTTGGCGTCGTGAGCCCAAAGACGTCGTTGCCGTCCTCCTCGGCGTTTGCTCCCCCTTTAATTTCGTCCTTTGGTGGCCGCCACTTGGGGTTGCTGGACAGAGTTGCGCTGCTTTGCGTTGCTTTGCGTTGCCCGGCCCTTGGATCACAGCGTCCGCAGCATTGGCGACGTTCTGCAGCTTCTGTGGCACTTCTGTGGCAGCCTTGGGTAGCCTTGTCGGATCTCACGATTGCCGTCGGGTTGGAGGCCTTGCAGGTTCACCAGCTCCAGAGTAAAGTTGTGGTCGAGGGTGATTGGCCATGTCTCGTCCCTGCTAAATGCACATCACTGGACTGGGACTGATATGGAGCTCAGCTACCAGCCACACCCGCCGCCCAGCTGCCCGCGTTGCCCGCGTTGCCCGCCCAAGCGCAAGCCACACCCGCATCACGTGGGGCTGCCCGCCTGCCGCCTTGCTGTGGCTGTGGCGCCTCAGGCAAGAAAGGCTGTTAAAGTGGTTTCGCGTCTGCCGCGTCTCCTCAACCACCGACCGCGTCGCAGACGTGACAATTTGCTTCCAGCTTCCTCAATCTGCCGTATGGCGACGCCTAAAGCGCTGTGCATGACCCCGACAAGCGACTCCTTCGTGCCGTAGCAGCTTCACCTGCGAGCGCCTCTTCGCCCTGCCGGAATTGACCCTGCGCGCGACCCTCGTTTGTTGATATTTGCGTCGGATTCGCCATCGCAGAGATGGTCAAGACCAGTGCAGGTACCGGCATATTCAGTGCCACGTACAGTGGAGTAAGCAATCCCCAGTGAATCTTGGATGCGGCAAACATGTGCGGGAAGCTTGGTTGTTGGATACAGGCCTTCAATTGGGGAGCATGGAGGCGTGGGAATCACAGATGTCCAGCCATCATATATCAAGCTACCCATCATCCATCGCAAAGGGGGGAGGGGGAAGCTATGATGGCCGTCTTCAGAGCTTCTCCCTCCCTGCTTTTCTCTGCTTTTCACTTCTTTAACACCGCAAAGCCTAATCTGAAATTGAAAAAAGACCACCTACATTGCTCAACACAAACTAATTCCTTCTCATCATTAGATTCCCGTTTACGAATTCCAATTCGGCGGCGACCTAAAAGAACATGTCATGAGAAGGAGGCACGATGACTGGATCAACGCAACACACATCTTGAAAGCTGCGGGCTTCGATAAACCCGCCCGAACGAGAATTCTAGAAAGAGACGTGCAGAAGGATGTCCACGAAAAGATTCAGGGTGGCTACGGCAAATATCAGGGAACATGGATTCCCCTGGAGGCCGGCGAGGCCCTCGCTCGGCGGCACAGCGTCTATGACCGAATACGGCCCATCTTCGAGTTTGTTCCAGGAAATGAGAGCCCTCCTCCCGCTCCCAGACATGCCAGCAAGCCTAAAGCACCAAAGTCCCGTCCTCCGCTTCCCAAATGGAATTCGGGTAGGTCCAAGGCCGCCGGCATGGCTCCTAGCGTCACTAACGCAGCGGCAGCCGCCATGCCAGTTGTCGAAGAGTACGAGAACAGTGAGAGCGTCATGGCTGGCGTGGAGGACGATACGCCGGACAACCTCACCGTGGCTTCGGCCTCGTACGTTGCCGATGATGATCGCTACGACATGGGCCACATGTCCACTGGTCACCGAAAGAGAAAGAGAGAAGAGCAGTTGCAGGATCTCACAGAGCAGCAGCACGCCGTGTATGGCGACGAGCTTCTGGACTATTTTCTACTTTCTAGAAATGAGCAGCCAGCAGTCAAGCCCGATCCGCCGCCAAACTTCCAGCCCAACTGGCTTATTGATGCCGAGAACCACACGGCCCTGCACTGGGCTTCCGCTATGGGCGACGTGGACGTGATCAAGCAGCTCAAGAGATTCAACGCAGACGTTGCCGTCCGCAACATTCGCGGCGAGACGCCATTCATGCGATCAGTCAACTTCACAAACTGCTACGACAAGCAGACGTTCCCCTCCGTCATGAAGGAGCTCTTTGAGACAGTGGATGTTAGGGACAGCCAGGGATGCACCGTCATCCACCATGCAGCCATCATGAAGAACGGCCGCGTCTACAGCCCGTCGTGCTCGAGATACTACCTGGACAACATACTGAATAAGCTGCAGGAGGCGCTGGAGCCGAGTGCCTTCCAGCGGCTCATTGACGTGCAGGACACTGACGGAAACACAGCGCTGCACCTCGCTGCCCTGCGCAACGCTAGGAAATGCATTCGTGCGCTGCTGGGCCGCAATGCCTCGACCGACATTCCCAACAACGACGGGGTCCGCGCAGAAGACCTCATCATGGAGCTCAATGCTCAAAAGAAGGACCGTGGGCCACAGCGGTCATCCTCTCCCTTTGCGCCGGATTCCCAGCGGCGCGCCACATTTAGGGACGCCTTCTCGGGTGCGGGCGACAAGGCGCGGAAGCCCCCTTTGGCCTTCCAATCAGCGGCGGCCACGACGGTTCAGTCGCGCATCTCCCCGCTCATTATGGAAAAGTTTCAGCTGCTCGCGAAAAGCTATGACGAGGAGTGGCACGAAAAGGACGTGGCCGAGGCCGAGGCCCGGCGCATCTTGACAAACACCCAGGCCGAGCTGAACGCCGTGCGGCAGCAAATCACGGAGCTCGAAGCTCAGCTCGAACCAGACGACGTGGCTGCCAAGGTCATGAGCGAGGCTAACCTCGTCAGGCACAACGTGCTGTCCCTCATTACCCACCAAAACAGGTTGCACATCCACCAGACGGTCGAAAACGAAATGAGCAAGCTGAACGGCGACGGCGGCAGCAGCAGCAGCAACCCCAACAACAACCCAAGCAGCATGCAGGACGACTCTTACGAGGAACGGCTTACTCTCGCGCGACAGCTCAGCCAGATGCTTATGGAGCAGCGGCAGGCAGAGACGGAATACGTCGACGCCCTAAGCATGGTGGGCGTCGGCGACAAGATCGAAAAGTACCGCCGCCTGCTGAAGCGCTGCCTCGATTCCAAAGACGGCGAGGTCCTGGACGCCAATCTCGACAGCCTGATTGACATGATGGAGGAGGAGCGCGAAGTACATGACATGGACGGGTCGACAACAGCGGGGGGTGAGCCCATGGATTTTGCAGTTATGTGATTTATTTTTAAACCTTTTTTTTTTTTGGTCCCCCATGTTTCTTTCTTTTTTTTTTTTTTTTTTTTTCCCATCTCACACCTCCACGGAGAGAGTGTGTCTGAGAGCCAAAAAAAGATTAAGATGGATGGGCAAGACGATGACGAAATGCTCAAAAAAGGAGATGCGCGAGGGAGAGAGTCAAGAGGAAGAAGAGAATGCCGCGCGCTTGAATCGCAAAAGTTCCACCCTTTTCCCTCTTTGCCTCTCCCAAGGACATCCCTGGAAAACCCGTCACCTTTTTTTAGAGGTCATCAAGCTACCCCGGCTTACTCTCTCTCTCTTTCTCTTCTTCTTGAGTAGCCGAGGGAAATCAGAATATGTGCTTTCGCCGCGTCAGGGTGGTGGGCAGCTTACCGCCCAACTACTAGCGGTAGTGAGAGCCTTCTATAAAGGACGTCGTCGTTTTGTTTTAACGGTTTACGTGGTGGTCACCTACCTTGGTCATCTTTCTTGTAAGAGCAAGTATATAGCAGTTGTCGAGCGGAGCGCATATAGCACTAAAGGAACGACTCGTGGGGGGCGGATCCGGCGCCGGAGGTTAACAGTTTTTTTTTTTACATACTCTTTGGCTTTCCTTCTCTATTTTCAGATATCTCGCCGGGAACGCTAGTATATCTTACTGAATCGACTGGCTTTATCAAGCACGCGAATAGAATTTTGTGACAAGCGTTGTGCAACTGATTCATGACGGTGCTGCGATGATTAGAAAAAAAGAAACACTTTGTTGAAAAAAAAAAAAAAACAGGCCGCGGTCCTCGGTCCGGCATATTCGGAGGTGGGAGTTCTGTGGAGCCCGAGTGCGCCGGGGATAGAGTCACGGCACCTCATGCAACCTTGATGGCTTCCATGGGTATACATGATCATGACAAGCCTTTCGCCTTTCGTATGTCGTATGTCGTATACGCGGCGCGATGAATAGGACCTGACACGGGAAAAAAAAATCGAAATCTTTCCGTGTTTGCGCGCGGCCTAGGCTTGACTTGGGAAACGGGTGGCCACCTCGGGCCCGACTGGTCCAGCCTTCTCCGGAGACGGTGGCCGGCCAGCTCGGACCGCATCCAACCAAATGGCCAGGCGTCCAGATGCCAAGCATTTCTCCTCGCGTAAGATTATGAGGCGACAAGAGCAAATGACATTCCGTTCCGCAACGACAACGATAGGCTCCGCAGCATGGGTGAAATCTGTAAACACCTAGGACTGCATCACCACCATCGTGCCAACCTCATCAGGACGAAGGAGACCCAATGAATGATGGGAAATAGCAAGCCCCGAGTCAATACACCAGAGGCCGACGACACAGGCCCGGGCATGGGTCTGCCGGAGTTGGTGGGACTGGGTATTACCGCTTCAGGGAGGAGCTAGCCGGCGACCGGCTCAGGCGGCTTGCATAGTATGGGCGTCAGGTGAGCAGCTGAGTCAGGGCGCCTGTATGAATACACCGTAAGCTGGCGGAGATGACTGGTCGAGCATTAGACGCCATGATGCCTCGCCGTATAAGTCGCTTAGCAACGAGGCCAATTGCTGCTCCTCCGAATGCCATCTCGACGCATTGGCGTCATAGGAACAACTAGCGAGTCATGTCAGGTACAACCGATAAACGTCTGAGGTTGGCCATATCTTATTTAACTCTGCCGTGCCTTGTTGCTGCGGAACATGATCATGCCGCGTCCAATCGCTTTGTCATGGCGAATCGGTGTAATTACAGTCTCAGCTTCTGCGGCGGCGCCTACCTAACGGCTGGCTCAGAAAGCATGGCTGCTGTTTTTCGCACGTCTGATAAGGATTCTCGGACCCTATATGCAGAGTGCATTGGCTTGTGAAAGTCCAATGACCGTGCCAACATGCGGTCTAATGCGGTGAAACACAAGTTCACGAGGCCTTGTCTTGCCACTCGTATGCCGGCACTTGGGAGGGGAGAAAAGGCAGCGTATCCGTGAAACAATGCCATGGTGTCGACATAATAAGAGACATCTTGACCACGTAGTAGTCAGGCAAAAGGGCAAAGCTATTGCAGCTGAACCATGGATAGATGCCCGATAGCCTGCAGATGGCTCCACCAACATTTCGGACAGAAACACTCAGCCGGACCAATATCAGCAGCAATGAACCTGAGACCTCCCCACACAAGGGCGTAGTAGCATGACTTCGGTAGCCATCTGGACGAACTCTCACCGTCAGAGTGGCAAAGAGCAAAGGCACATCCAATGGATGCCCTAGGCAACGCAACAATGTGTTAATCGCTTAGAGGCAGATGCTTGTCGACCTGAAAATAGCTTTGGATATCAAGTAATGGCTCTCTGCCCCACGTAAACAACGAGGCAAGCCGACGTGGCATCCAGCAATGGAGACTGGATATGACTAGTGGTTCGTCTGCGGTTGCACAAACGCAGTGGAGGTCATCATGTGGTAGAGTTTTAAGGGCCTGGGGGCGAATTGAGCGCGGCATACATGCTTGACTGGCGCCGAGTACGGGGTATCAATTACTCTGCTCCAATAGAACCATGCATTGGCGGAGCATAAGGGTAGGAGCAACAAGTCAAGGTGGGATCCGCGAAACTATGCAGGTGGCTCGTACCAAGACCAAGTTAAACTGCGTGTGTTGAGGCCCAGACGGTGAGGAGGTTTACCCGTCTGCAAGTCGTGATTTGCTGCGTCGCCCATGCTAGCGCTGGCAACGAATGTGGCACCGCGAGATGGCGCCTGCAAAATCGACAAATGTCATCCAGAGACGCCCAGATTCAGCAGCTAGGCGGTAAAGCCCTGGAGCGTGCCAACTTAAACCATGAAGAGGAGGAGGTTAATAACATGCTGACGAGCGGGGGAGGGGTACCCCAATCGCTGTAAGGCTGACGGAAACACCCCAAACGGAGGAGTCGGGGTTTTGTACAGACAAAACAAGTCGAAGTCTTGCTGGCGACATGGCAGAACTGGGCACACCCGCCTTCACTGCTGATGGCACGGCGGCCCAAGCTGACTTGCTGACAGAGCAGACTGGCATGATGCACCAGGGAGAAGAAGCAGGGCAAAAAGAGTCCCTAGCTCATACAACGGAGCATTTCCCACGGATGCACGGTCACGATCACGGTCAGCCGTGGTGGGGAGGAGCAGGAGGAGAGCTAGGGCCAGAATGCACCAAGTGAGAGCCGGATTGAAGCTGATCCGTCGAGAGTTGTGTCACACACTGCCCAAATAAAGGTAGCCCGCTGATGCCCGATCCATGCGGTGCATTGCTAGACTACTGTACGAACAAGTATCCGCAATGTCGAGGGAAAGCAGCCCGTCGCTGCGTCGTGGGCGCAATCTGTACAGGTACGAGTACATACTTGTACACATAGTACCGCGCCGCAGGTGTCTGGAGCAACACTGGCGTGGTGGTGCTAGCATGCTGGCGTGCATGCTTTGAACCCCTTCAAGACAAGTTACCACACATGCATACTTGGAGTGTGATGCTAGTGTGCGTCAAAACGGAGGTCTGGCTGCAGAGCCGCAGCGGTCAGGATGCCAGGGTTCGTGCCACGGCCAGCTGAAAACGAAATGACGAGTGGGAGCGGTGTCTGGCCGTCTGTCTGGTTTGGGGGACGGAGAAGTCTACCGCCCCACGAGTGACGACTGCTTGGGCCAACCGCAGCGCTGGACGGCGGGCTTTCGGGCTAGCAGAGTGCGTAGCGTAGCGTCGATGCCTCAATAGTCGGGATTTCAGTTGAGATCGATCGGGACGCCGACGATGCGCTTGTGCAAGTTGTTTGGCCGAGGTGAGGCTGAAGAGGATTTTGGCCACTGTGGAAAAGGTTGATCAACTATTTTGTTGCTAGCAAGGGGGAGAAGAAGCTGGGAGATGGAGAAGAAGAAGAAGAAAATCTTGCAAGTCGACTAAGGGAAGGCGAGAGGAGAGGAGAGGAGAGGCGAGGAGAGAAGGAGCAGGCATCAGCTGTCATGGGCTCGAAAGTGGAAAGTGCGCCCTACCGTATGTACATTGCTGGGAGCAAGTGCTGAGACGAGAGTAAACTGCACTTGTACCTATACCTGGACCTGCACTCTGTAATGTACATGCCTCAACCAACCTGGAACCCTCGTCTCGTCTCTTCTCGTCTCATAGTGGCGCATGGAGAGTCATACATGATTCCCGGTATGTACATTGAGAACCTTACGAAGCAGAGGTGATTACTTTGTAGCATTCGCACAGTCTAGTACGAGTACTCCATGTATAGGTACAATACCCGACTGCTATACGCTCGAGATGCCTGGGGTCGGTTTTGGGACCCTGTCTATTAGTACGGAGCACGAGGAGCCCATCTCGAGACGGCCGTTCCAATACCGGGACGGGAAGTACTCGCACAGCAGTGGAGATCGGCAGAAGCTCGACGGCTCAGCGTTCTAGAAGCCGGCGTCTTGCAGGCCGGGTCAGCTGGGCAGGTATCAAGAGCTCATGCTTGTACAGTACCGCTACCACCACCGCTATTACGGCTACAGCTACCGCAACCGCGCAGGTACGAGTACCGCCTCGAACGAAATTGATGGCTGTGGCAACGGAAGCATTGGTTGACGGGATTCGCTACCGACTTTCTGGATTTGGAGAGCCAGCCACGCCTTGCTTCGGATGGCTTGGACGCGACAATAGTTGGCTTTCCTGATTCAGAGATTCAAAGTCGGCGAGTGCCTCTTTGTTTCTGCCTGCTCGGGTTCTCGGAATACTTTGGGCATGGCATGGCATGGTCCGGTTCGGCACGGTGCTCGTACTTGTACACGCTGCCTTAGACATGCATGCAGAGTAGAGCAGAGCAGAGCAGAGCACCGTGGCCATAGCGTCATTGTGTCCCAGACGGCATCCATGCATCACGAGCGAGAATCCACCGGCTGAGAGACTTAATTAATCCGACAGCCGCGGGAGTGGTCGCATGCGCGCAGTTTTGCCATCTGTCACATTGGCAGGACAGGACGGCCATGTTCCGGCCCTCGGGGGTTGTTTGTTTGTACTAACTGCATGCCCGAAGCACGTTGCGAGGTGCGTGTTAGTGCGATTATGCTTGCTTGCCGGACAGAGGAGAGAGAGGAGACAGAGAGAGCTCGGGATACTGGAAACGGGGGGGGGGGGGCAACAACAAGGAACGTGGAACTCGGATGCATGTACGAGTGCAGTGCAGTACGAGATACCGCATCTTGCCGAGAAGAGAGAAGCGTACGAAGGGTGATGCGATGGATGCGATGCGATGCTTCTTCCTGCACTAGCTCCTCGTTCTGTCCTGCTGTCCTGCTCCATCCTGCTTGTAGGCCTAGGACCTCCATGGTCGGTCATGATGCCCCCCTGCTTGCATCTCGCAGTAAATATCGGGGCTGCTGCATCTTCGCGGTCCCTGTGACTCGATGCTGCTTTTCTAGCCGGCAGAGCATTGGCTACGCAATTTAAACGGCCACACCACTCGCGCACCATGTCCCGCGCGATATCCCGCACCCACCAGGTTTTTTCAGCTGCCTTGGGCCATGCAAGTGACGCACTTTTAACTCTATTTGCCAACCAATTCAATGCGCAAACCGCACCGGTTCCTGGCGCACTTTGGCACCCGCCCGCTCGCTGGGATCCGGCCGGCGGCGATGGGGATGGAGGGGAAGAAGCTCCAGAATATCTTGTTGTTGTTGTTGTTTTCTCACTTTCCTGTTTACTCTCCAGCTGTTTGTTTTGTTCGCCTCCTGCACAGCTGGCTGCTGCATCGCCCAGTGGCAAGAGAGTCCAGTCCCTTGTCTGTACACTAACATGATCAAACGCCTGGCCCCCTGGGATCGCCAAGTTAGGGCTGCGCCTTTCAGCTGGGCAGGTCTCGTGCCTGGCAAGTAGACGCATGTACATGTACTCCCTGTCCGCTCCCGCCCCGGGCGAGCCAGCGCCCGCCAAGTACTTGCCGCTACAAGCGCTGCATGCAAGCCTCAGCACAGCGCTAACTTGAACTCGGAACACCTACCTCAAGCTACTAGGTACTCCGTACATGCTGTACATGTACCATCAACTTGAACAGGCCTGGCAACGTCAGTCAATGGCCCAGCAGCCCAGTTACGGTGCCACCCGGTGCAATTTCTTTCGCAACCTGCAACTATCGAGCCTCTTTCAGGCCCCGATGACGGGAGCCCAGGACGCCACCAGATGCGCCGTGGCCAGTGCGCGTACGCTTTCAGCAGGGTCTAGCTTGACCGGGTCAGCCACAGAAGCAGATTTTGATGCGAGGACAAGTCAGTCCGTCAGTCCGTCCCCCCGTAAGCAGACAGACACATTAGTACCTCCTATCTTAGGTAGTAGTAGTAGTAGGCAAAAGGCCAAAAAAAAAATCAACCTGAAGCACAAAATTGGCCTTATACGAGCTGCCGTCTAGGTGTTGATGGTCCGGAGTAGGTACACCGACCAAGATGGTACAAGCTGCCGCGGCTGGCGATACCTGTGCTGCCGCGGAAGCTGCCGCCAAGCCACGAGTCGCTCTGGGCCCTGTTGCCTGTATCGTATCCATATCTGTACTATATCTCTTGCATAATGGAAACCGGGCAGGCTGGAAGCCACTGATTGATCCATGGAAAGGGCGATTGTACCTGCACTCGCTGGCTCGCCCACTGCAAGGTACTGGTACTGCACCTAGACTGAGGTGGATTGAAACACTGCAGCGCATTGATACCTTAATACAGGTAAACATTGAACTGATGGAAGTCCTACGAGTACCCCGTACCTGCTCGTACGTACCTCCACTGACACTGAGGGGGTCGCATTCTTGCTGCTGCATGCCGCCCCCTCTTTTTTTTCTGCTTCTTCTGATCTTGTGCCCGAAATTGGCCCAGCTCTGGTTATCCATCACCATTGCCATGCCATGCCATGTGCTGACTTGAGACGAAGCCCGGACAGAGGATGGGACGGGATGGGATGGGGATGGTGTCGCTTTTCGCAATCCTGGGCCTGCCCGAATAGGCACGGCACAGCGATTACCTGCACTGTACTCGTACAGAGTCCATCGTCCTCCTGTCTTCAACCCGTTTCTTCGCTCTCGGGAAGCACAGCATCAACGTCAAGTCTCTCTCTCTGCCCCCCGGATCGGCCACATGGCCAGCCTCTGACCAATCGTCCCTCGTCAGCAGCGCCTGTGTATCCAGAAAAAGAAAACAACAGCCAACGGGGCAGAACAGACTCGACTCAACTCGCACCGAGGGTGTCTCGATAGGGCTCACCTCAGCTGAAATGCTGTCCGGGTGCCAGCTCCCGCCGATTGCGGGCACCGCTAAGAGCAAAGCAAATCGCCTCTGGCCTCCTTGGATCTCGCTACCGAAACCACAAGCAGGCGGGGACGGTACCGAAGCACTGAAACATGCCCCAAATAAGTTCCAGTCCAGGCCTGCTTGCTTAGCCCTCGAGTCAGGGACGCCGTCAGTACAACGGGCTGCCTTGTTGTCTGCTGAAAACAGGGATCTCCGTCGTGCCGCCAGGGCCTCGAAACACTCCCCTCTGGCTCCGGGCCTTGCTGGTTTTGGCGCCTACTGTACGAGTTGCTCGTACTATCCTGTACTTTGTCTGGTGCCGTTATTACCAATGCCTGTTGTGCATACCTTGCGATGCTAACCAGCAGTGCGGCTCCTCGTACGCAGCTGTGCCCTTGTTTGGACGACATGCCGCGGTAACTTTTCTTTTTTTTTTCTTTTTTTTTTTAATCTTTTTTCTTTTCTATGGTTCCCAGCCAGTCGTCGGCCGCAACCCTGCCCGCTACTGCAAAACACAGCCCGTCGTCCACAAAAGAGGATCATTCGCTTGGCGCGACCCAAATTCCGCATCTTGTCCTTGCCGGCGCCGATACCCCATGGCAGCGGTAGGGTGCTTCCCGCCAGCTGGAAGAAGGGAGGGGCCAGAGTGGGAAATGGACGTGGAAATGGAGCCGGCCGGACATGCTACGACAGGACCGCCATGCTGCTGCTTGCTGCCACTACTAGCTAGTAGTGGCAGCATCCTATGCCATGCCGTGCCATGCCATGCCATGCGAGGCCATGCGAGGCCATGCGAGGCCATGCGAGGCAAATCACAAGCACCCAGCAAGCACTGGCCTGGTCACTATGATCCCACACCCCCAGCTCGACGACTCCAGCTGCCATCAGCAACCATGGACGTCTTGCTTGACTGTATCCGTACCTACTCGTACGCCTCCTGGGGCCCGTACTTGTACATGGCGTCTGCTGCCCAAGCGTCTTCTAGCGGTGCTACGAGTGCGAGTCCGGTACTGTACGGCCCTTTACTGCCACCCCCCTTCTTTCACTCGGATGTTTCTCTAATGCTAGCTTGGGATGGCTGAGAGGCTACTCCCGCTGGGCATCTCAGGCCTTGCTTTCTTCTTTCAGTCCCGTCCTGTCCTGTACTTGTACTTGCTTGCGTTTGCGCTTCCCCAGTGGGATCTAGCGCCGTTGGCAAGTTTTGCTCGTCGCTTTGCCCCTCTGTTCGCAGAAAGAATGAGGAAAAGGCCACACGCACGAGAGACACACCGTATCCTATCCCCATCCCATTTTGAATTATATTAAGGTTCATCTCACCCCGACGAAAATGTTCTTGTTTTCTTTCCCCCCTGTGGTTGTGTCTCACTCACTTCACTCTTTCCGTCAGCCGTTCTCTTTTTGCGCCAACAAAGGAAAAAGGAAAAAAGGAGCCTCTGATCAACTGAGCCGCCCAGCCCTCCCCTTGTCACATCACAGGCAACGACCTATCGATGTCGTACCGGCTTATTAGTCCATACTTCGACACGAGACAACCCAAGAGACTCGCCGGAACAGCACCTGGTAGCTAAACAGCAAGAAAAAGGCCCGCGCAAATCGCCACCTTACTCAGTACCCCCCGTGTCACTTCGGCCTGCGCCGTATTCAGCCTTCCGCCCTTGGTCATTTAAAAGGGCATCATTGACAAAACCAATATCCGAGGGTGCCGACCTCGAGACAGCCCGGAGGTTGCCAATTAGAGTCTGCTCTTTCGCGCAAGACCGCCCCACGGCAGCACATCACCGTCCCAAACGCCTCAATCGCATCTTGGTCGCCAGCAAACGCCCTACCAAACGCCGTAGGGCAGAAGAGTGCCGTCTGACCGCAGGAATAGTGCGACTTGGCAGGGACCCCGGCTGACGGCGCCAGGCCGAATTCCCATAAGCAGTCACCTCCCAGTCCACCATGCCCGTAACCAATCGTGGAGGCCTACCCGGCGCCGACTACAATTACTTGAAAGCCCAACCGCCCTCCTGGGAGTCTGTTCGAACCGGACTGTCTATTTTTGCCTTGGTCATCATTGCACGCTACTGTGTGCAGACCATCTACCGATGGCTTAGACCAACCGCGAGGCGCAACACTGCTACTCTTCTCCCCACTAACAACCTGCCGCTGCAGAGACAGCAGTACGAGCCACACCTTGGGCCAATGGACGATGAAAAGCACATTGAAGGGGTCAACGACCAACACGAGGACTTGAGGGCGCCGACGACTACGACGACGACGACGAACACGACGGCCGCAATGGATCGGCACCCGCACTGGAGAAGCGCCGGTGGCACCTTGCCTGGACCCTTCATCTCCCGGCTGCCTCCCGCGCCACCTTTGACTCCGCCGGAGCTGAGCACAGCCGTCTTCACCTTGGACAACGAACCGTCACCCAGCAGCCAGAGCTTCATTCACCAGCCCAACCCCGACTACATGTCCTCGACGTCCACCACGGCTTTCCAGACAGGAAGCCCCGACTCTGCGTCTATCCCGCGGCGGCGATCCTACACTAGGACGCTCCCCATTAGCGTCCCTGGGTCTGGGTCTCACTCTCCTCAAGCGCAGTCTCCCGAGGCTGAATCCGTGGATCCAGCCTTTTCGCCCAGCTCCTACCCGCCGTCGGCCGGCTTGCTGCCGCCTGCGCCTCCCTCGGGCCTTGGCTCAGAGCCAGATGATCATGCCCATCGAAACGTCGACGTCCAAGGGGAGATTCTCTCGGTTCTCGATCGCGACGGAGCTGGCTGGACTCGCCATACACGTGTCTACGGTGGCGGAGCCTGTCTAGCGTGCGCTGCCAGCGGCGGTGGTTTCTACGGTGCTACCGTGACTCCAGAGGAGATGCGGTGATGGGTAGGAAAAGTGAGAAGGGAGAGAAAGAAAGCCTAGCCATCTCAAAAGGGGGAGGGGGCGCGTGTGCGTGTGTGTGCGCGCGCGCAACTTCTGGTGCCTCAGCCGGACAAACTCGGCTCTCGCTAATCATTACTCTGTTTCTCTCTATTGCCCTTCCGTTTTCCTCCCCCTTCTACCCTCCTCTATTTTCTGAGCATAGCGCTTGCAAGGGGGGAGGAGCGGATGGCTGCATTTTTGTCTTATGCATGAAACTAAGTCGGGAGGCGCAGGATGCTTGTTTTATCCCTTTGCTGTTTCTTCTTCTTCTTTATTCTTATTTCAATCCCTTTTTTTTTTGTATTTCTTCACATGGGGTGGCGCCTCGTTACATCTCCTTGTTTCAACCTTGTTTCTCAAGCTCCCCTTTTTCCCTCTTTTGCTATTTCAGCTTTTCCCCCATCAGCTTACTTTTGACCCGTTTTCCCGGTAGATGGCCGCTCATTGTCATTGCCCTGATTGCATGCTTCTGATCCCCCCACCGCCTGGTATTTATTTATTTCTCATTCAAAAGCACTTTTTAAGCTGCACTGTAATATGGAGTCAGTTCTGTTTTATTGGAATGTTAAAAAAAAGAGGGTTGTGATTGGGCCCTTTTACGTTTTTCCCCTTTCCTCCTGTTTCTCCTCCTCCTCCTCCCGGTCTACAGCTTATTAGGTTATGAATATTATGACGATATGATGACTCTGTTTCTCTCTACAAGACTTTTTTGTTTTCGTCTCTTGGTTTTTCAATACATGAGCAAAGGATTTTGGTCAGATTATTAATGAAACTCGATTTTAACACGCGCCATGTGACTGATGGTAACGGAAGTGCTTGACGACCCGCCAGCCCATCTCGACTAGGTTCAACGCCTCTTTATTCCCTTATGGTCATGGAGGATAAATGAACCGGGATCCCCCTCCCCCCTCCTTCTCGGCCGAAGGCCTACAAGTAGCAAACGCTGCCTCAAGACGACGATGGCTTCGGGTCCTTGTATCGTTCCTAGTCCGTAACCTCATTAGTGACGCCTTCTCCCGAGCCAAGAGGTGCCGCATCCTTGACGCCTCTTGCTTGGTTCATTCCGTCTACGGGAATCCCTAGAAGGGAAAGAAATAAGAAGGCCCAGCTCCCATGACAAATAGGGGGGTGTGAAACATAAGAGCTACGACAACTAGATCCTCATCAGGGCAAAGTAAGCGGGCACCTTTTTAGGATGGGGTCATACCACATGCTGGTCTATGTTCTCTTTCCCGTTCGCAATCCCCGATCAGTCACCTTTTGGTGTTTTGATCGTTTCTTTTTGTCGGCCGGGGGGGGAGGGGGGGGGGGGGGGTCGTGTGGACAGGCCTTTTTTTTTTTTGCCAAGCTTAGTTTATTTCCTGGGGGGAAGGGAGATGTCACTCTTTAGGTGACTAAAGTGACGAGGAGATGTCTCACGGAGATGACATGACACAAAGGGACGAAGAGGAAGACGGCAAGGGCCTTGGATTTGTCACTCTTGGGAGAGACGGGAGGACAAGGGCACGGGCGGAATCCGGATTCGGGTATTGGAGTTTGTTTCGATGGTTGGCCCCGGTGACTCAGTCAGAGATGGTCGGCTCGGGCGTTGATCCCAAAGTCCTAGGGGCCTGGGGTATTTGGTTTCTGGCTTGGCTTACTGCCTTTTTTTCTGCTGCCGAGGATATTCTCGACAAGGTGTCTGTCAGTTCAGTAAGAGCTCCAGTATATAGACGTGGCCAGGGGGTGTAACAAGACAGAGAGAGAGAGAGAGAGAGAGAGAGAGACATGAGTAATGGTTATTTCTCAAGGACCAACGACATGACTTGATGACACGAGCACCCGGTTTCCCTCACCTTTTGAGTCACCCCATACTTGAAGCCATGCAAGCCAAAGCAAAACAGGGTTGCGGGAAAAAAAAAAGGGAACCACCAGCACCCAGCCAAAACCGCTCACGAAATGCGTTTCGAACGCCCCCAAATCCCTGGACGAACGCGGGAAACGGTCGTTACAAGGCTGAACCGGGGCGCCCACCAAGTCCTGTCGGAGAAATGGGGCGGCCTGGCTCGTTCGTCCGTTCGTTCGCCTGGTTTGTTTTTACCATGTGAAAGAAGAAACACTTGCTCTCTCTTGTCTCCGCGGTCCTTTCCTTTCCTTGTCTTCCCCCTTGCTTTTTTTTTTAAAAGCGCATAGTGTATGTTTTGGCTATTTAAAGGCACACATTAGAAGAGAAGAAGATCATCGAGAGATTTTGAATGGGGGGGGGGGGGGGGTCTTTGCTATACTCAGCAGCCGCGCGGAAAATATTCCAAAGCAATAACCAAAAAAGAAATAATCACAGCGTTCAATAAATCTCGATATAGCACGCAAGAGAGCGCCAGGAAATATCGCTACTGCTAAAGGCTACCTGGGGAGGCGTTTTATGGTTCTGACGTGAGCCTGTGTCAAAACCTGGTCAGCGGCCATAAACTGGGTTAAACGGAGGTGGGTGGTGCCCATGTAGTGTTATTTTTTTTTCCTCTTCCCTTTCTCCAAACGAGAGGGGAGCGGAGAAAGCGGCGGACATGGAAAGCGTGAGGGGAAAAGAAAATGACTGATATTATGCATATCGTATACATACCGTTTATCCAGTAGTGTGTGTGTGTGTGTGTGTGTGTGTGTGTGTGTGTTCATTCCTGTATGGGAGACCTTTGCGAGGGAGACTACGAGAATACAAAGTTCATGTTGATTTGAAAGTGTTTTTTGCAGGGTTTATTGATTTTGGGGCCGTACAGTAAGAAGATGCTGCTGACGAGATTTGGCCATGTTTTGGTAATCTATCCAGGGCTGTAGGGAGATCCACTTGGCTGAGCTGGGGGGGTCAGCTTTTTTTTTGGTCAAGGGGAAACATGGCTGAGCAATTTTATGCGATGGTGCGGGTAGTGTGTTATTGTAATTCTGGGCAAAAAGACGCTGTTGTTTTGTTTTTGTTTTTTGTATTTTGCCCAGCTGAGATGAGTGTCCTCGTATCAGCAAGTTTGGATTTCCTATTGTGGACAGTGGTGGGATTTTTACGACTCGTATGGTTTTAAGAGGGCCCTTTTGAGGATGTTGAAATAGGCGTGGCAGTCAGCTTTTGATTTGTCGAGCTTGTTGTCTCTCCGTGGAAGGACAAGAGAGCCTCGTCTCGTGACAGAGGAACGCCTACTACATGTAATTACTACTAATCGCCAACATTCTCGTGACAAGAAACAAATCAGCTCCAGGCCATTACTACTCGTACTATGTACCTGGCAAGCATTTGCACCTGTCAATCTCGGATCCATGTCTGTAAGTAAGCGGCACCAACTAAGATGAGATGATGAGCTAGGTCTGTGTGTCGACCGGGGTGATCCGTATTGGCGGGAGGTCAAGGGCTCGCGGGGGGTCGGTCGGCGACCACCGCGGAGTTCCGCGGCGGGCTTGGGATTGAATTTCTGCATAGGTGGTCCGTCGTTCCGAGTTCCGTAGCTGTTCCGCAGCATGACTTTGTACGATATCAGACCCGGTCCTGTCGCTTCTAAGCGGGGAGGAGGAGGATTGGCGGAGTCGTGAATTATTGTTACAAGGGAGGAGATCCGGCGACGTGGTTTTATCCCACATCCCGAGTATCTAGAAGAGTAAATGTATTTCATATACATACTGTAAGCAGGGACTCATGCCAGGCCAAGGTAGGTCGTCATAGCATTCATGTGTATATTTGTATGTATGAGCTGCCTTCCATACATGTACTCTCATGTCGGAGAAGTAGATGGACAAATCAAGGACACGATAATCAATATACCGACGCAGGTGGCCCGATTAAGACGCCGGTCTTCTTCTCCGACAAAGCATACGTAAGAGTCACTGGGGTACCGAACATCCATTCCCATATAAGATGACGGCTTCCAGGGGGTTAAATCAACTTCATGCAAACCGCGGAATCGGCAAATGATAAATCTTGTTGGCAAAGATATTCCCTCGACCAACACCAGTATAAGCAAAAGTGGCCTTTTTTCCATCCCCGGAATTCGTCCCTTGTTGCAGAAACAGGGGCCATCGCGGTCGGTCAGCGCCCAGATATAGAGCCCCCTGATGCTGTCTGTCCGACTCGCCCGTAAGCGCCGGTTCAAATCAATTGAGTCAGTAGCTTTGGCCACTGCCCTGGAAGCATGCGTCTTGTGTACACGTCGCCATGGGTGCAGCTACCCTTGATGAAGCATGGTTTTCAATGCTAGGGGAGACAGATATACATGGCAGAGAGAGAGGGGGCAAGAGAGCAAGTCAGACGTTTACGAGTACAAGGAACATACGCGTAGATGTGTAATTCGGACATAAGACTTACTACTGACAAAGCTGGGCTCGCTTACGCTCAAACATGGGCAGAGTATAACCCCTAACCTTGTTCGAGTCAACGTTACGTAGAACTTTTTTACTACGAAATTGGTTCTCTCGGATGATACGTGCTCATGATTCAACTGCCGAAGATGGTACCGTCATAGTACTTGGATATAGCAGGTGTCAATTACTACATGTAATGACAGCGAGTCTACTGGCGGACTATTGCAATATCTCGCCAGGATCTGACAGTCTACAGCAGCTAATATCGGACCATAAGCTCCCGTAAGATGGAGAAATATTAGCAATCAGCTGTTGCGGGCACATGGGCAGACCGCCGTCTGGGGAAACAGGCGGAGCGCGTACTCGGCAATGGAAGACCGGAAAGTGCCGTCAATCGTCACTCCCAGCCCGGAAATACAGGCGAGGGTAACAGCTTACGTGGGCCTTGTTGAAGTCATTACGGTGTGTAATAGTAGGCCAGAGTACAAACGGATAAATAGCAAGCTTACGACGAAATAAGTCGGTGATGATATTGCAGATGATTCTTTGCATTGCGAACAATGGACAATCTCTTTGCGAACAATGGACAATCTCTTTGCGAACAATGGACAATCTCTTTGGTTATAGCAGCTCGTGAGGTTTTCGGAGCCGTGTTTGGCTTGTTCATCGCCAAAATTGGGATGCTGGCTATTCAATCATTCTTTTTGTGTAGGGTTGGACATTTATCCGGCACGATGCTCTCTTATATCAAAGTGACTCCTGGTATATAATTCATGTATTAGGAGGAGAAGCCTCGAAACAAAAGAAAGACGGAAAGCAAGAGAGCAAGAAATTAAAAGAAGAGCAAGCCAAAAAGGGGGGAGAAAAGAAGAAAAGAAAAGATGGATGAGATGGATGAAAGAAAAACACTTTTGAGAAGCGGGTCACACAAGAAGCACAGAGAAATCAAACAGTAGGTGTTGATAACATTCATACCAGTGATCCTTGAATTGAGAGACAATCTATTTCGGATATATGCTCATGACTCGCTGCCTCCACAGAAATACACTTGCTTCTGGTGGGTTCAGTTTCTTCCAGAGAATCAAATGATTGGTCAGACGGCTACTATATTTGAGCCAATTGACAAACCGCAATACAACTTTCAATTCAATATTGAATTTATTTCAATCAATAAAACTAATATTGTTATACCTTACCTGCAAAATGTTCGAAGCAATGGGATGCTGAGGGAAGCGTACAAATCCGTTGTAGGTTATCACTGTGCGAAAAGGTGAGGCCATGGTTTTGCATGTATGAATCTTTTTTAAACCACGAAGATTTCATGTTAGATAGCATGAGAGTTCAATACAGGTCTAGAGAACTAGTTTGAAATACACTCCAATCGTTAACATGAGTTATTCATAAATAGAATAAGCAAGTAAAAGTATAGTCATAGACATGGGCACTAAAGCAAAGGCCTACCCATTACAGAAAGGCATCCATGAATCTACATCCCCGGTCTGCCATCCGAATATTACTGCTGCTGCTGCTGCTGCTGCTGATATACAAAACTTCGTTTTTATTAAATCAAGTAGTTGTATTACTATTAACCTGGCATTGGATACCATTCAACTCTAGTGCAGAGTTCAACCAACGACGAAGCACTTGGCAAACATGACCAAGCTTGATCTATGCTTCAAAAATATTGTGGCCCTCCTTATACGGCACAGCACCAGGGTTCATCCACTCTCCCAGGATGGTGCAATCGTACTGCTCTCCACCAACAAGCCCACCCTTGCCCACTGCCCTCCATCTGTTGTAAATGGGCAAGGCCGGAGTCCCTGGCAGCAGGTCCAAGTCGAACTGGTAACGGCTTCCGTTGGTGATAACGTAATCGGCAAACATCTTGGTGGGCAGGTTGACGCCGGAAGCTTGCGAGAAAGCATTGCCGCTGATGTTGAAGTTGAAGGTATTTGGCTTAGGGTATGGCAAGTTGGAGAAGGTTGTGCACTGCGACTGCAGGATCTCCGTATCGTGAGAAAGGTAGCCGGACATGAAATCGTCCTTGTGAGTTGCATTGAGCGGCTGTGCCTCGACAAAGGCAACGTGATAAGGCTAACATTGCGCAATTAGTTTTTGAATCAAGCTTTAGGTCTCAGTCAATGACTTACTCCGCATGATCCAAGGCCGAAGAGCCAGGTCTTTAGATATTGATCGATTGGCTTAGCTGCCCAGTTCTTGTCGTGATAGCCAGCTCCTTCAAATGACCCATCATGCCCGTCGATAAGGAGGTTGACTTTAGCAGAAGTCGTTCCAGGCATGGCAATGGCCCACCCAAGGTTCGTGAAGAACTCCGTCTGCGCAGCGTTGAATTTGGCTCCCTTGGGAATTGCGGGATCGAAATAAGTCGATCCGCCAGTGGTGCCCGCGCAGCCCGTATGCGGAGGAGTCTTGGTTCCAACCAGGCTCACCGACCCTGAGATTCCCGAAGCAGGGTAGTTGAACGAAATATCGAACGTGCGTGGCGGGCCAGTTGTGGAGAGGAGGCTGGCGATGGTCTCTCCCGAAGCATCCTTCCACACAGCCGTCACTTGTTGCGCATTCTCGGTGACTGTTGCGGAGTCGGCTGGAAGGACGAAGAAGAACTGAGTGCCGTTTGGCAATGTGCCAGAAACGTCTACCTGGAACGACGGATCCGTGGGGGCACGAGTGAAGACGAAGCCTAGTTGTGCAACTCATTAATACATGTACATTCCGACACATACAGGGGACGGGTCTTTACGAACCTTCATACGCAACAATCTCAAAAGAAGGCACGACGCCGTTGACTTCTTCGCCAATCACATTGGCCCACCACCAGTCAAAAGACTGCTTGCCCGGGCCCGGAAAAGGATTCGTCACTATTTCAGTTAGCGAATCAGACGTACACCAAACTGTAACACGGCGTGTTAATACACACCGTAAGGCCCGTCAAAATTAGCCGGTTTCGTTGTGTCTGGTGCCGCCCTTGCTTTCAGGGGATTTGCGACGACAAGTGAGGAAGACAGCAGAGCTGCCGCGAGGAACTTCATGTTGGGCACAACAAGGAAACTGCCAACTAATTACTTGATCAATGTTGGAACACCAAGCTCATGAAGAAAAGAGTTGAGAAGCACGAGAGGGTTTATATGTCTTGAGTCTCTTGGCCAGGTACCGTAGTAAAAACTCTGATCTTACATGCCACTTCGGACACCGCCGGTTCAACTACTGCAGGGGTATGGAGTTTCCGCAAGACTCATAATGACGATGATGATGAATTATACTAATCTTCGTGGTAGTAGCTTCTTAAATCGCGATAGCCAATGTGGGGATGAAGAGAAAGCTTGAGCTTGAGCCCGCTCGTGTGAGATGTTAGCAAAGCTCGGCGTTCTTGGCCCTGTTTTTGATTGTTTCTCAGGACATTTGTCTCTCTTCAAAAGAGACAAGCACATCGCAATGGGTACACAACGACAATGCTATTCACAAGTCTCTTTGTCACTGAGTTGCATAACCAAGTAGGCAAAGAGAGTCCTTGCATAGGTACGTTGAGTTGTTGATTGCTCCGTTTAACAATAAAGCAAGTTTTGGGGTGTGATTCATAAATCTCCGAAATGCAGATGCAATGCTCAGCTGAGCTTGATGGGCTGGTTTTGCCAATCGGATTAAACTTGAGCGACACTAGGCCATAAAGCAATAGCAACGTTGCAACCAAAGGCCAGAACAACGGAATTCAAGTACAGCACAACTATTCCGAAAGACTAACAAACTAACTGCAAAACCGCAAAACAACATGGTTGAGGTTCTCTCAATACCGCTTCTTTTTAGGCAGTGTGTCCTCCGTACCGAGGGCAAGTACATGTAGCACATTCGAATGAATGGACTCTCACCCCATCAAGAGTCTTTGAATCGTGAAAGCCTGTCCTCGACGACAACAGCATATGAAGCGTAAACTAGATTCGTACGAGACACTGAGTTCCACGCCGTCTATAAGACAGCCCAGCGTGGTTTCACCGTCGAAGATTTGTCTAATACTCGTACGAGTACACTTCAATTGTTGACATGGGGTACCATGGAAGAAATAAGCAAAGTAAGAGTCCGCTCCGTACGTGTCATGGTTGGCATTGGCACCAAAGCAAACGCCTGCCTATTATAGAAAGGCATCCATGGATCTGCATCTCCGGTTTGTCATCTGAACACCGCGACTGCTGCTGCTACACACGGAACTCCGTGAAGAACTCCGTCAGTACTTGGGCTCCGCATCAGAGTCAAGTCAAGATATAAAGCTCTCTGCATGCCAATTGATGCCTTTGACGCCCGTCGCAGCGAGAGGCGGTAATGGTGGTGCAGCACGCGGGCTGATTGGCGCCGGCAGGGCTCGGCTGTGCCGTTAAGCGCCAGAAGTCAAGTCACGCACTTGGCCGTGCATAGCAGGAACATGCACGCTGCACCGCGGCTAATGAGGAGCAAGAGTCTCGATCCCGGTCCATTGTCGGTCGGCCAGCGATCCGGCATGTGTCGATGGCGACACAGACTCCTCACCTGGGCTCGTGTGTCGTTCGTGGACAAGATGCCATCGCCGCGAGTCGTGTGTCGATGTCGATGGAATGGCACGTCACATGCCGCGACAACTCGGTCGTCATTCTCTCACTCTCGCTCTCGGTCTTCATTTTGCAGAGGTCGGCCCGGGGTACCATGAGGCTGGGTTCATCATGGAACTTGGCCATAGTAGTAGTAGTTTCGGGAGTGCCAGGTCATGAAACAAATTGAAGCCTCGGTCGGACCACTCCGTTCTCCAGGGTCAGTCCGTATCCCCGGAAAGCCATCGAAAGCTTGAACAAAATGAAGTCAGACACGCAATTGGCCATGGTGTGCGTTCTGCATATCTGCTACTGCACATCAGCAGCCACTTGCTACGGTTCAATGCTATTTAGCGATGCGCCAAAATGAAAGGCATGCGACATGCATTCCACCATTTTGGCGGGCACACAACGTCCAGGTCGGGAAGATGAAGAGCGGCAGTGGTGGTATCTAATAGTCTTGGTATGGAGTACCGTGAAGATTGAAGACATGGTCCAAGAGCCCTGTGCGCATTAGTGGATCTCGTCTCGTCTCGCCTTTGATGAGTTGGAGTGTTTCGTGTTTGAGTCTCCGCGTCAGCCTTTCGAGTCGTCCCTGATACCTATCAATGCCTGCCCTGTATCGTACCGTGAGCTCGGTGAGAGATGCTCAGAACAACTAATAAGCCGGGTTTGGCGACAGGCATGAGGTTGACGGGATTCAATAGTCTCGTCATAGCCTCGAGGGCCCCTGGAGGAGAACCTTGCCCCTCGCTGCCTGCATTGCCGCCATCTGGTGCATGTGGAGTGCAGTGCAGTGCAGCAGCACATCAACAACGGGCTACCTCTGGGGATCGTTTCATCCGGTATGTGTCTGTCTACCCATCGCCCAGGCTCGAGTATGTATGGCTCCCCAAGCATTGCTAGCCGTAAACTCTGTGCTCAGTACGGAGTAGCGTCGTGGTAATAACATCTGTTGCCACATGGTATCTGCAAGTACTATGAACCCCGTACATACACGAGCAGGCTGAGACCAGCAACTCGACTCGAATGGGCCTCTTGGGCTGTGCTGTCCTTTTTCGCGCAACCATGTGCTAGCAGGGCGACTTGAAACACGGGAGGCTGCGGTGTGGAGTCGACGATCTGGATGGAGTCTGACATGGGGGTCGAAGACTGGTGGACTGTGCTGTATGAAGACAAGACTCGCACAAGCAAGTGCGAGCACATGAGAGGCCGTCGTACAGTACGAGTGCTTGTCCAGAAGACGGTTCTCTGGTCGTCGGCCTCGTATCGTGTCCTCGGGCCCGGCGAGGGGAATCGTGAGCAGGATTGACGGTCAGCACTTGCGAAGAGCATTCAATGCCAATGGCGATCCAGAGACCCAATCGCGAGCAGAGGAAAAGGAGGAGCTGGGCAGCGATTCTGCAGGTTAGGCGCACAGCCCGGCAAAAGGGCTCGAGACAGAGAGACAGAGACAGAGACTCGACGCGGGTAAAGATAGAGTCGACGGCGGGAGCCAAACGCGATTTAGCTTCATGTTGGATGGACCCCGCCATGTGCTTGTTGGTTGTCTTGTCGAGTCACGAGCGCCGTTGGGCGAGTGCGAGTGTGGGCTTGTCTTGTCCGTTCCTGGATGATGGAGGAGTTTCTCTGAGCGGTCTCTTGTCTCTCTGCCTCTCTGTCTCTGTCTGTGTCTCTGTCTCTGCCCTCTCTTCTCCGTTTCCGAGTCCTTTTTTGGATCTTCCCATTCTCACGTGTCTCTCTGCTGACGATGACAATGACGGCACGTTCTTGATGCTTCTTCTTCTTCTCCATCTTTCCCGGCTTCTTCGTCGTCGTCGTCGTCGTCTTCTGCAAATGCATGACTCTCTCTCTCTTGTCTCGCGGCCAATGGCGGGGAAAACAGGACAGGCAAAGCAAAGAGGAGCAGCAGCAGCTTTGAAAATTGAGGGTGTCGTCACGCCGGCTTAGCCCATGGCTGTGTGTACTGTACGAGTACTCGCATGTACCTGTACCCGAGCGAGCGCGCTGATTGGCCGAGCCCGCGCAAGAATGGCCTGGCATCCCCTGCATCTGAAAAGGCACAACACACCTCCATGACGCCCCCTGAGCCTGAACGGGACGTAGTGCAAGTACCTGTACCTATTCCAAGAAACAGGGGAGGCCTTTTCTCTTCCTCTGGTTCCTCACTTGTTTTTTTTTTTTTGCCGCCCTCGATGGGGCAGGGGTTGGGCAGCTGTTGGGCTCGGCGGACCAGTCAGAGGCCACGACGCGAAATGCCACAGCCGTGCTGGTGCGAGTATCCGGTACCTGCTCTTGATCTTCGGGGGAGGTACATGCGCTCGTAGCTGCGACTTGTGTCGTTGCGTGTCTCCATCTTTGGGCGCTTGTCACGCGGCACATTTTTTTTTTTTGGCGACTCACTCGCTCACCGGCGGAGTCAGTTTCTGGTTTTGGATGTATGAGTACGGAGTACTTGCGGTAAGGAGAGAGAGGGGTGCTGTGTTTTGTCTCTGTCTGCATTGCATTGTCTGCAGTATGTGTGTATGAAGATGTATGCGAATGGAATGTTTAGAGGCGACTATAGCACAGGTAGGTACCTGACTACTAAATTACCTAGATCAGATGTATGCAGTACAGAGTACAGGAACTGCCTCATTCGCGCCATGTGATGGTACATGCCCTGAATTGCGATTGACCGTATCCTCTACCTTAGTACCCGGCCCCGTCCCCTCGCAGCTCCTCCCCCCGCCGCCCTGATTGGCCGCAACGCCACAGCGCCTCTTTGGTTCCCCAGAGCGCCGCTCCAGAAGGTGGCCAACGGGCTTCCAGGCGCTGCCATTGGCCGCCATGCCGCACCTCGGGTCGCCCTTCAGTGGCTACAGCACGCTGGCTCCAGCTGTCAAGTGGCCTGTCGGGGGCTGTCGGGGGCTGTCGGGGCCTGTCACAGCGCCCTGTCCCTCTGCGCCGTGGCCCGCCAGCGCACCTCCAGGGGTCCGAGGCCTCTCCACTTCCGGCTTTAGGGCGCCTCCTGTCTAGTCTAGCGCCCTCCTCTGCCCTCTCCCTCCAGCCAGCACCTCAAATTTCCCACATCATCCTCGACGCCACCGGCTCGTTTTTTTTTTCCCTTCTTTTTTTTTCCCATCTTCCTCTCCACCCTCCTCCACCTCCGTCCGTCTTTGTCCCATCGCCATTTACACCGCCCTTCGCATCTATTCTTCCCTCTCTTCTCCCTTCTGTGGCCCCTTCTTGCCTCGCCTTATTTTCTCTTTCTTCGCTTTTCGCGGATTCGCCTTCGCGTCTCATCGCCTCATTGACAATCGCCGTCTCGCACATCGGGACTTTCGGACCCTGGAAAACATCGGAAAAAAAGAAAAGACGTTGAAAAAACCAAAACCAAAAAATCAACACACGCTTCACTTCAGGGACAAAAACGACGACAGGACAGGAACAAGGAGACTTCCAACCGGGTTTTTATGGAAAGCGCATTCACTAGT